CCTGTCCTGTCCGGCCGTGCCACCCACCATCACTCACTGCACCTTCTCTTTCATCTTCTGCACCAGGGAGTGAGTCACTGGATTCTTGCTGCTTCTGAGTCACCTCTGCTTCTAGAGAGAATTGGGTGGGACAACCTCAGAGAGCAATAGGATCAATACCCAACCACCCCTGCTTTCGTTAGATTAAAGGGCTTCGGTGGGGAAAAGGAGCAGGCACTTGGGTCATGGTGGAAACTGGAAGGCAGAGTCTTGTAGCACATGGACTCTTAAAATTCTCTGCAATGAATAGCATGGCTTTGGTTTTCCACAAACAAACAAACAAACAAAACAAAAACAAACAAACAAAAAACAAAAAAAGAGACTGGAGTAACTGGGACCCTTATGGAGCTGAACACATCCAGATTCCCTCCATAGAAGCCATACTACCTTGAGCATATCATCAATTTCTCTACACTTCAGCCTCCTCAGTTTGGGGTTGTTTGTTTGTTTGTTTGTTTGTTTGTTTGTGGTTGAGACACTGGGTTGTGATCTCACTGCATTGCCCTGCCTAACATGGCATTCAGGCATTCACTATGTCAACCAGGCTGGCTTTGAACTCACAGAGAACCACCTACCTCTGACTCCCAAGTGCTGAAATTAAAGTTGTATACCACCACACTGAGCTAGTCTCCTCCGTTTTCAAGTAGGGAAAATATTAGTCCCTAATCTTAATGGTTCTTGGAGGGAGTAATAAGATGTGTTTGTTGTATGACTTTTTCCTGGGGAGGCTTGACAGGGTGCAGACAGACCAAAGAGATGATTCCTAATATGGAGAGTTACCTACAGGAGCATGGGTGACAGCTTCAAACCTACATCCCTGCTGCTCCCTGACCAACTTGCAGATAATCTCACAAAGAATCTCTCTCTCTTCCTCTCTCTCTCTCTCCCTCTCTCCTCCCCCTCTTTGCATTTGCCTACTGCCTACATAACCTTGGGGAGGGGCCGTGTGAATCTTGGCGCCTTCTGAGCTCCCTGAGTAGTCTGAGTTTTATCAGCTGTCTGAGTCTTATACGTTTCTCCCAAAGGGGAGTGTCTGGGGTTAGAGGAGAGCTAAGCGTTGTTCAGCAGCGTTTAGAAAGCTAGGGGTTGGGTGCTGCCCGACGGTAGACTGATTACCTAGTGTTGACAAGCCCTGAGTTCCATCCCCAGTGCTTCATAAAAAAGAGAAGGAAAAAAAAAGCTTTTCTCGAGGAGTATATTGGCACACACCCAGTCTCAACACCTGGGAAGCTAAGGTAGGGAGACCACGTTCTCCGCCAGCCTGTGCTCTATAGCAAAACTTTGTCTAAATAAAAAGGGCTCATGAAATGGCTCAGGAGATGAAGGACGAGTTCTATTCTCAGATCCACATGGCACAAAGAAAAATCTGACTCTTGGGTGTTTCCTCTGACCTCTGTACACTCAGTAGCACACACATGCCCACAAACAAACACATACAAAATAAAATAATAAAAATTTTTAAATAATAAAATAAAGTAATAAAGCACTTAAAATTTACCTCTGTGTAGAAAATAAATGGCCCTCTATGTACAGAGATAGAACTGTCTGAAATCACAATGCGTAGCTGTTTATGAGAACATGTAATAAGCTATATTTTTTCCTGGACATGATTTTAAATTCTGGGTGTTATAAAGTTGGGGTGAAGGAGTAAATATGCCTTACATCCAAGGTTAGCATTCCTTTGCTGTTTATCATTGTAACGGAGGGTATGGACGTTGTTGTATATGAGAATTTAAGCTGTGGCTGGAGATGCAGCTCAGGGGAAGTGTTTGCCCTGCAAGCACCGAGTTCTGGGTTAGATCCCAGATACTGCAAACAAAAACCCAGTTGATTACCAGGTGGAGAGAGGTGAATCAGGAATTCAAGGCCATCCTCTACTACATAGCAAGTTCAGGGCCAGCATAGGCTACAAGAGACCCGGTCTCAAAAAGCAAGCAAGCAAGCAAGCAAGCAAGCAAGCAAGCAAGAAAAAAAGAAAGAAAGAAAGAAAGAAAGA